AAATTCAACTTTACGACATATAAACCGTGATGACTCTAGAGCCACATCAGCCCGTTTGACATTATAATGTGTTTAATTCAGTTTTGTGCAACTCTCACAGAAACAAAACTTAAAACCACATCACTAATTTGCATAAACTAAGCGAAGATAAAACTACAGCTCTTGTGTCGCTGATGCGGTTCAATTTCTGTCAGATTAAAAGACATGACTCAGGTGAATACAGGTTAGTGTGACCAGATTTGTGTTTGTCAAAACCAGGACACCGTACGGGGGGAGGGAGGTGGGGACTCGTCATCGACATTGAGCAACTCTCACCTGGTAAAACTTTTTCCCACTGGACACCGAAACATATGTGCTGCTTTATAAACTGTGCACATGGACTCACACTTGTCCCGAACGCAACGGAAAGTGTGGAATTTCTTGTACAAATCATCGTTAAATACACATTTGTGCTTCGGTACGTTGCAGACTGACCCACTGTTTGTGTCTCGCTCCTTCTGATGCAGAGACACATGTACACACCTGTTTGGTCAAACTACGCACAGCAACCTACATTCGGTTTGTCGATTAAAATGAACGTAATCGATGAAATTCTTAATGATCAATTATCGATTAATCATGCCCATCCCTACTCCAGACCTAGTAAAAGATGCAAGTCTCCTCACAGTAAGGAGACATGTTTTTCAATGCTTTTGCAATAAAAAATAAAATAAATAAAAATAAAAAATGTTTAGTTTTTTTTTTTTTTTTTTTACTGTATTTTGGTTTCATACTGTGTCTTAAAACTGTGGTATGTTTTTTTGTTAATGAGTGTCTAACTAATAATAAAGGAGGAGAGCTACAAACAAGTTCGACAGACTTAAATACTTAAGTCTTTCTGTTCAAATCAAAAAACTACAAGCTTTAAACAGTTGGATATGTGGATATGTGTTGAGCCCTCGATAGACACTGGCACCACTGAAACATCCCACAACCACAATCTGTTTGTTTGTTTCTTCTTTAAAATGTTTTAAATAAATAGAACTTGAGAAACATCAACAGTGATACTGGGGCCAGATAAAACGATGAGTCATTCTTTGCATATTTGAATCTGAATTGATATGTATGTGTGTCTGTGTGTCCGTGCGTGTGTGTATGATTGTGTGTCTGTGTGTGTGTGTGCGGTCACTCACCCTGGACGATGCCCGTGCTCATGATGGAGCCCATCCTGGAGTGAGTGTGGTTCACGATGCCTGTGTTCACTGCACACAGAGGACACGTCAGAGAGCCACAGACGCCCGCGTGCGCCATGCAAACTGCTACGCAACAGCTCGCCACCATGCACCTAACGCAGTATCCTCACAAGTACTGCTACTGTCTAACGCAGTATTCTCACAGGTACTGCTACTGGCCGATGCAGGATTCTCACAAGTACGCTAGTAGTGCAATTGTATTTGGGATTTATTTGGAAAAACATGAAGATTCAGTGTACATTTGAAACACTTTTGTATAAAAATATGAGGAGGCTGGAATATCGACTGCTAAAATAACCAAAACAAAACAAAACAAAAATATCACATGCATTTCTGAACATGACTGTAGAGGTTTTAAAGAGGCTGTACCCAATTTACTTTCAAGTAATAAAGTACCAGAACTGATGTATTTTAACTGTGGCTCTGTGCGCTGTAAGCATGCTAGTGTTTGTTTACCGTATTTTCTGCACTATAGGGCGCTCTGGATTATAAGGTGCACTGTCATTGAATGGTCTATTTTCGAACACAACAGTTAGATAAGTCAGTCAAACATTATTTAACGTGTTCACAATAACTCTCAACTTTGTTCAGCTGTAGCACGTAAAAAAAAAAAAAATACTGTGAGAGCGGTAAATTGTTAGTGTATTCACAATAACTCAGAATTGTTCAAACAGCGATTACGGTGTCCAGCATGCCCGCATCCCTCTCGTCATTATCTGGCAGTTCAGTGATGATACATGCATCAAGAATCTCAGACTTCCGGTCACTGTGCAATGCATACTGGGAAGGATTTTCCGCCAAAAAACGTCATGTTTGTTTTCCCAGTGGGATGCGTCTATTGACAAAGCCGATATTTTCTAGTCTTTTGAACCATATTGCTTTTATTTCTGGTTCTGATATTGTCATATTTTAGTTATGGGATTCATAATGTTGTGGTTGTTGGATCCTAACAGCAGAAAACGGCTCGAGAAATTTGTTTACGAACTTCATAACTGCAAAAGGGAATCAGATGTGTGTGACTGCAAACCTCCGTTCAAACTGTTTACCTTCCTAACGGAACTGAATAATAGTGAAAGGTGAAGGCGACGGGCAGGATTGATCCATGATAAGGACGAAAAAGGAAACCTTTGACTGCCTAAATCATCCCAAGTTTGCAGTGAACATTCTGTATGTGGAGCTCCATCAAAGCAAAATCCCGATCCTTCGCTCAGCCTTGGTTACGAATTTAAAAAGTCAACGCCAAAGTGAAAGGCACCAGCTGTTCGCCAAGAAACACCTTCCACTTCTTCCACTGCAAAGAGACCAAGACGTGATGTTGCTGTAAAACCACAAGAACAAGAAAGTGTGAGCTCAGTCTGTTTGTCTTCTGCACCTCTCACTTAACGGGATTTTGGTTTGTTGGCGCTCCACACACAAAATGTTCACTGCAAACTCAGGAAACTTTTGGCTACCTAAGAAATCATCCTTTTTTGTCCTTCCTGTGGATCAATCCTGCCCATCGCCTTCACCTTTCACTATGTTTCAATTCCGTTGGGAAGAGAAACAGTTTGAACGGAGGTTTGAGTCACACACATCTGATTCCCTTTTGCATTTTATGGAGTTCGCAAACTTCCGACGCCCATTTCTCGAGCCGTTTTCCGCTGTTCCACTGGACATCCAACAACCACACAATTACGATGTCCAAATCCCAAAACTAAAATATGACAATATCAGAACCAGAAAATGCGCAATGACAGGAAGTCCGAAATTTGTGATGCATGTATTCCGGTCTTGGTGAAAGCTCGGACCACAGTTGATACTGATCCTTAGCCCGGGCGTCCACGATCCGTTGGCAGATCGTGGCGCAAGTCGCTCGGCGCTGTCTCCCTGTCTTGGTGAATGTGCGTTCTCCTTCTCTCATCCACTGCTCCCATGCAGCTCGCACTTTCACTTTATAACAGCCTTGAGTTTAAAGTGGGCGTTGTGAGCATGTCTCTTGACAGGTGCATTTTGATATTAAAAGGAATCACAGTATGTATTACTCCGTGATGCTCCGGACTTCGGGAGCCGTAATACTGCAAGTGGTGCGGCTTTGTAGTTTACTAAAGTCGTACTAAGACACCCCAATAAATTCATATATAAGGCGCTCTGGATTATAAGGCGTGTGGTCGTTTTTTGATGAAATTAATGGCTTTTAAGTGCACCCTATAGTGCAGAAAATATGGTAATATTATTGTACTATTATGAATAACACTTAAAAATTCATAATAGTGGTGAATAATTAGGGCGGTTGAAATGCGTCAGGAACATGTTTGAACACTTTTAAAGACAGTAAAAATCAGGTACAGCGCCTTTAACTACAAGTAAACCAGGCTTCATACACACATTACAAATACAGTCGCTAAATCGTGACCGTTCATGTTGCGAGTTACACAATGTCAGGGGTTAAACATGGCAGTACATGGTAGTAGTACAGGGTAAAGTACTATTCCAACACTGGTGAAGGGAGGAGGTAGGAGTACAACTGCATGGTTTAGTACAGGAGGACGGGATGAGCATTAGTAACACCGACTTTTACACTGCAAAAACACAGCCACGCAGGTTCAAATGACTCACAGGATCATATCAAATGGACTTGTTTCCGTTAGTTTGTTATTCCACTGATATTTACTTGTTAGAGGTAGACTTTAAAGGTTCTATATTACACAAAATGGACTCTTGTGAACTTTTAAGTCATGTTATAATGTTGTTACCTCGACAAAAACAGACCTGGAGTTGTGTTTTGTTTCATTCTGTCTACATCTCCAAAACTCAAAATTTTCTGTTCCACCTTGTGATGTCGTGGTAGTTTAACTTAACAGCTCCTTTTACTTTTTGTTCAGAAGAGATTGTCAATTCCAGGTCTAAAATTATCCGAGCGATTCAAATGAAGGTGTATGAAGTTTAAAAACAGTTTTTAAACTTTCTTTAAAGTGGACTAAGCGAATGTGATGTCACCCACAGACAGTATATGTTGGTGTGAATCATTTCCGTCATAATCCCAAGAATTCAAGTAAAAACATTCATGTCTGCACTGAAATGAATCATGGGATATGTAGTTCCCAATGTTTATAAGCTGTTGCTACTATAAAACAATGCATTTAAGCAAAGGAACTTGTGATCAGTGTTGGGAAGGTGACTTTTAAAATGTATTCCCCTACAGATTACAGATTACATACCCCAAAATGTAGTTTGTAACGTAATCCGTTAAATTACTTAAAGTGAGTAACGTAATCTGAATACTTTGGATTACTTGATATTGTCATGTTTTTTAAACTACATGAATGTACCAACCACATCCTGAAAATTCTTGTTTGTTCTCTTCAAATTGGTCCTGGTTTGGTCCTGGTTTAGTCCTGGTTTAGTCCTGGTTTTAGTCCTGGTTTTAGTCCTGGTTTTAGACCTGGTTTTAGACCTGGTTTTAGACCTGGTTTTAGACCTGGTTTAGTCCTGGTTTTAGTCCTGGTTTAGTCCTGGTTTAGTCCTGGTTTTAGTCCTGGTTTTAGTCCTGGTTTAGTCCTGGTTTTAGTCCTGGTTTTAGTCCTGGTTTAGACCTGGTTTTAGTCCTGGTTTTAGTCCTGGTTTAGTCCTGGTTTAGTTTAGACCTAGTTTAGACCTGGTTTAGACCTGGTTTAGTCCTGGTTTAGACCTGGTTTAGTCCTGGTTTTAGTCCTGGTTTTAGTCCTGGTTTAGTCCTGGTTTAGACCTAGTTTAGACCTGGTTTAGACCTCATTTTAGTCCTGGTTTAGACCTGGTTTAGACCTCATTTTAGTCCTGGTTTAGACCTGGTTTAGACCTAGTTTAGACCTAGTTTAGACCTGGTTTAGACCTGGTTTAGTCCTGGTTTTAGTCCTGGTTTTAGTCCTGGTTTTAGTCCTGGTTTAGTCCTGGTTTAGTCCTGGTTTAGTCCTGGTTTAGACCTCGTTTTAGTCCTGGTTTTAGTCCTGGTTTAGACCTAGTTTAGACCTGGTTTAGACCTGGTTTAGTCCTAGTTTAGACCTCGTTTTAGTCCTGGTTTTAGTCCTGGTTTAGACCTAGTTTAGACCTAGTTTAGACCTGGTTTAGACCTGGTTTAGACCTGGTTTAGACCTCGTTTTAGTCCTGGTTTTAGTCCTAGTTTAGTCCTTAGAGTTTGTGCGTGAAACATGTGCGAACGAAACAAAACACAACTCCGGGTCTGTTTGTGATGAGGAAACAACATTAGAACACACTGTAGATCAGAAAATAGTGTAATACGAGCCCTTTGAAAGTGGATGAACCAATAGAAATCAGGTAAAATGAGGTTTTCAGTCATTTCTACTCAGTCAGTGATGAGTTTGGGTTTGAATGGTTTGAATGGAATGGAAGCGAGCGGTTTGGAGAAGACGCAAAGCTTAGGACAAAGAAATTTGAGGATAATTTTACGCTAAACGGCAATGATGAAAAGTCTGTGTTGTTTACGTTCAGAAAAATATTGAAATTTGTATAAAAAAGAAAAAAAAAGAAAAAGAAAATCCTGATAGCCTGCTTGCCCCTATGGAAATGTTACTGCTTCGCCCGGAATGTTCCACAGTATGGCATTAGAAGAATCTCCACGGAGACAAGAGAACGAGTTACAGGTCAGCTCTGTGGAGAGGTGAGCCTGTTCATTGTAAAAAAAACAACAAAAAAACAACAAAACACCAAACAAACATATTTTTCAAGATATTTTTGAGCAATTAAAGCACATATAATTAAGAAATGCACATGTATAAGTTTAATGCCGTACTGCGGAACATTCCAAGCAGGTGACGCGCCTTTCAAGTTAGTGTCGAAACCTAAAAAAAAAAAAAAAGTCGTATAATTCAGTGTAATCGAGCTGCCTGCTGTGAGCTGGAGTCAGTTGAACCAAGGGCGTGTGTGTCTAGGCCTGTCACGATCGGAACAGAATATGGATTTATTTTAGGATTTTTTTGGTCATTGCACTTTTTCAATGCACAACAGGAACATTTTTGGTGATTTTTTATATATTTTTTTGGCTATATAAAAGATTTGAGCTGCACAAGGTTGAATAAGTATGACTCATTACAGACGCTAAGCACTAAAGTGTTTCATTGTGCTTCTTATTTACTGCAGCTCATTGTGTTTAAAGGTCTTCTGTTACGCAAACAGACCTGGAGCTGTGTTTTGTTTCCTTCACGTGTTTGAGTAAAGCTTTATTATTACTCTGTTTACATCTCCAAAGCTCAAAATGTTATGTTCCGTTTTGTGATGTCGTGTAGTGGTAGTTTTTTAAGTTAAAGTAAAGATCCTTTTGACCTTTTTGTTCAGTAAAGATTGGGAAATCCAGAGCTGAAATCATCCAAATTATTCGAGTGAAAGCGTAGGTGGAGCACTTCCTGTACAGACTCGACTCGTGGAAAAAGTTTGGAAACATGCGATGACGACTTCGTTCCCGACATAAAACCACAGAACTACAATAAAATCTGAAGTTGAACCCAAGATGGTGCTCAATGGCGCATGGGCCCAAAAATAAATTTCTCTCAATGACTGAAAGGTTTTAATTTTTCATTCCACACTCTTCTCTCTAATTTAATGTCTCTCTCTATTTTTTTTATTAGTCGTCCGGATCGTATCAGAAGGGCGACCCAACGACCACGCCCTGAACGACCGGAATTATTTTTAAGAAGAATAAATGTTTACATGATCGAGGCATAAATTAATTCGACGTTTGGAAACATGCGATGACAACTTCCGGTGTAGTTCCCGACACTGAGCTCGCCGACCGACTGCGATAAAACCGTAGAACTATAATAAAATCTGAAGTTGATGGCGACTCAAAATGGCGTTGTGTTGTTTTCAGTGGTCTGTGCTCATTGGCGCATGGGCCCAAAAATAATTTTCTCTTTCACATTTACGTCCTCAATGACTGGGTTCGTTTCATCGAGGTTTTCATTTTTCATTCCGCACTCTTCTCTCTAATTTAATGTCTCTCTCTTTTTAATTTTATGATGATTATTTATTAATAATAATAATAATGCATCAGTTTTATACAGCGCTTTTTTGGACACTCAAAGACATCTTTATTCATTCACTCCAGACCCGGTGGTGGTAAGCTACTCTTGTAGCCACAGCTGCCCTGGGACAGACTGACGGAAAGATCTATGTTTTGATTTGTTTGTGTTGTGATTTTATAATGTATTTCTTATTCGGTAAAGCAATTTGAATTACTTAATTATCATCACTCAATCCGGGCGAGCTCCTTCCATCCGTGTGACGTCTGTAACGTGCACGGCGTGGAGAGTTTGGACCAATCAGAGTGAGAGCTGCGAGAGCGGAGCTAGAGCGGACTCAGAGTGGGGCTAGGCCAAGTCTGACAAAGCTAACTTTTAGTCGTGTTGAGGATTTAAACGTTGATGTTGTTAAAATAGAAAAGAATCTGTTGTGAGAGCTGTCGGTGCCCAGCTGAACACGGGCAGAATGAACTCCCCAAAAAATGCTTTGTGTTCTATGGGAGAATTTTTTCTGGGCCCAAAGCTCCCAGGAGCTGCAGTACCTGGAGCGGCCACTAGTCGGTCTCAAGCCCGGACAGAGGAGGAGGGAATTATCCAGTTTTTATTACAGATCCATGGATAAAACCCATTGAATTAAACGTGATCAGCGGTAAAATGAGGACTGCATACGTATGTGCTGTTGGGAATCATCTCGAATTTGGCGTCTCATCTCCTCTAATCGCATGAACCCAGTGCGCTCGGAGTTGTGTGTCAGTGGGGAAAAGATGAAAACTGAGGTATGGACATAATTGTTGATCAGCCGAACATAATGGAACGTTACACTGGCCATGTTTACAAGTTGTTTTTTTAATTCCAAATTAATAGTTCTGAATTAAAATATTCTCCTTCGATTTTACCTGGAAATAATAATTCTGAAATGAGGTTTACATGGAAAACACGTTAAATCGTCTTTATTTAATTCTGCTCGACGTCTGGGGGTGGGGAAGGGTTCTGATTGGACCGGCTTTTTCGTCATCTCGGTTTGTCGTTACGCCACGGACACAAACGCGATCCAAACTTTTTTCGCAGTGGTTCCGATGATAATTGCGCAGCAGATTGAGAATTGTCTCATCACGCTTTACGTCTGTCGGCTGAGGAGGAGAAGGGAAGACTGTCGGAGAAGGGAGGAAGAAGACAAACTGAGTCGACGGCTGCTCTACCTCAGCCCACTCCCACATCCCGCTCACAAATCAAAAGAGACGTGGATGAAAGTCCGAAGCCAGGACTGGGTGAGCCGGATCGTCCGGATTGCGCTAGAATGTCAACCGAACGAGTGTGCTCTCAACGACCGCAGTTATTTTTAAGAAGAATAAACGTTTACATGATCGAGGAAGAAATGAATTTGGCTTTAAAATTGGAATAAACCAACCAATTACATCGGAATTAAGTTTAATTCTGAACAATAATGCTCATTAGGAATCAAGTGTTTACATGGTCTTTTTAAAGCGGAATACATTTTTATTCTGAATTAAATTATTTTTATGTGGAATTAAAGCTCTCATGTAAATGCGGCGACTGACATGTAGATGAAGAAAACTGGGACATTTTCTCATGTTTCCTAGATTTTACCAAACTTACTAACGTGAACAGAACCCGCCGGAAATTGTCATCGCATGTTTCCAAACGTCTCCCTGGTTTGTGGTATAAGTGTGATTAGAACCTATTACCACATGACATCACAAGGTGGAACAGTGTTTTCTGTTTGAGAAAAGAACTAAATCTGCAGGGTTTGTGCGTTAAACTTGTGAATGAAACAAAACACAACTCCAGGTCTGTTTGGAATGAAGAAATTATAACATAGACCAGTAAATACCATAGTGATAGTTGTACATTTTGTGGTTTAAATCAGCTTTTGGGTTATTACGTTATCGTTTCTCGTGGACATTTACTTGAGGAAGTGATCGTGACAGGCCTGCGTGTGTCTGTGCAGTGCGTTTGTGTTTGTGTGTGGACTACAGAGAGCATGCATTGAGTGTGGAGAGGAGGCCGTTGGTGTGGACATAACTGTTTTCGGGCTGGGCAGCGGGCTTTCTCTGGGCCTCTGTTCCTACTTGCTCCCCACTACACCATGTGCCCTGAGCGGGAGTGAAGCCTGGAGGAGTGCAGTTCGTACCCAGCGGGATGAGGTTGTTGTGGGAGGCCGGCGTGCCGCTGCCGATCACCGTGCTCAGGTCGTAGGCTGTGGGCATCCCTGCAAATACACACACGATTTACACAGTTTTATTACACACACACGATTGTTTAAATGAAAAAAAAAAAAAAAAAAAAAAAAACGGATAAAAGACTGAACCAGGACTGAACCAGGACCAGAACATGTCTGGGACTCGGACCTGGGACTCGGACCTGGGACTCGGACCTGGGACTCGGACCTGGGACTCGGACCTGGGACTCGGACCTGGGACTCGGACCTGGGACTCAGGCCGAGACTGAGACCGTGACTGAGACCGTGACTGAGACCGTGACTGAGACCGTGACTGAGACCGTGACTGAGACCGTGACTGAGACCGAGACTGACTGAGACCATGACTGAGACCGGGCCTGAGGCCGGGACCAGACCAGGACTGAAAACTGTTTAGTCCTGCTTTAGTCCTGTTTAAGTCCTGCTTTAGTCCTGCTTTAGTCCTGCTTTAGTCCTTTTGTAGACCTGGTTTAGACCTGGTTTAGACCTGGTTTAGTCCATATGTGGTGCAAAAGTTTGGCATCACAGTTTAAGTCACATAAACGGGAATCGGTCGTTATCAGTTTTTTTCCATTATGAATTTAAACACAAAATCGAAAACTGAAAAAAAAAATATATATATATATATATCCTTTATACATCTTTTTCAGTGAAGTCGACTAAAACACGTCCTGTGGATTCTGTCCTGTGATCGGTTTGTCGTCTAAAAGGGGGTGTGGCAAAACTATTGTGACCGTGTACCTGACCTAAACAAATGCACAGGAGTTTGAGCAAAACAACTAGGAAACAATGGATTTGGATGTGAAAAGGTGGATTAATGAGTCATTAGTCATGAGTCATTAGTGAGTCATGAGTCGCTCCCAAATCACCATCTACTCACACCACACGTCCTCCATTCTGCCACAGAGACGCTTATATTCTACAAAAAATAACCAACTAAAACAGGTTTTCGACAACTAAGAAACCATCAACCGATGAACTGACTAAAGGCTTACTTCCTTACAGTTTAAAAAACAGGGGTATTTAAAATTTGAGGAAGTCTGGTTTGAGAAAATCTCAAGCAAAGGTCTAGGACATTAAAGCAGAAGTAGCCTAGTTTTATCAGTGTCTGAATGTATGAACAATAGACTGTCAAATCAACGAAAATACAAGTTAAAAAAACATTTCAACAAAATGTGTTAACACTGAAACACACAGTAGGTCTACATTTGATATAGAGCTGCAGTTTAAAATTAATTAGACATAAATAAATAATCTAAATGGCTAAATTGTGCATAATCATTGTGCAATAATAATAACTGTGCATCCTTCGTTCATTTGTTTTTCAATTTAAAACCAAAAATAAGAAAACAAAAACACTATTATTTTCTTCATTATTTGTCTCAAAAATCTAAATGAAAAAAAAAAAAAACAGATAACGATTTGTTTTTTCAGGTTTCGATTTTGTGTTTAAATGAATAATGGAAAAAACGGAGAACGGCCGTTTCCCGTTTACGTGACTTAAACTGCAGTACTGGACTAAACCAGGACTAAACCAGGACTAAACCAGGACTAAACCAGGACTAAACCAGGACTAAACCAGGACTAAACCAGGACTGAACCAGGGCTAACAGGACTAAACTAGGACTAAACCAGGACTAAACCAGGGCTGAACCAGGACTAAACCAGGACTAAACCAGGACTGAACCAGGACTGAACCAGGACTGAACCAGGACTGAACCAGGACTGAACCAGGACTAAACCAGGAGTGAACCAGGACTAAAACAGGACTAAACCAGAACTGAACCAGGACTGAACCAGGAGTAAACCAGGAGTAAACCAGGACTAAACTGGTCTCAGTCCTGATCACCCAACAGTCTACACGGGCGCACCTCCGGGCCCATCCCGACACTCCTGGTTCAGTCCTGGTTCAGTCCTGGTTCAGTCCTGGTTCAGTCCTGGTTCAGTCCTGGTTCAGTCCTGGTTCACAGTTTAAGTCACGAACACGGGAAACAGCCGTTATCTGTTTTTTTCCATTATTCACTTAAACACAAAATCGAAAACTGAAAAAAACTGAATCATTATCTGTTTTTTCATTTTAATTTTGAAGACAAATAATGAAGAAAATTGTAGTTTTTTCGTTTTCTTACTTTTGGTTTTATTTTGAAAAACGAATGAACAAATGATACACGACTTGTGCATCTTAAAACAAAGTGCTTAATTTCACAAAAAGGAAAAAAGAATAGCAGCTTGATTTTCCCTTTTTCTTTACATTTCACACTTCAACTTAACAGTCTCAAAACATTTTTCAACCAATATCTTAAAACCTCTATCCTCTGTGTCTGGATTCAGAGTTGCGGTCGCCTTGAATGCACAGATTTGATTGGCTCAGCAGCGTCACGTGGGCGGCTTAACTCGCACACGATTTTTTTTTATGTTCCTTGGTCCATTAATACAGCGCTGTAAAGTTTAGAGTCTAAACTGAATAGGCCCTATAAGATTTATCTTGTTTTTGTTCATGTCGGATTTGTTTTTAAACATGTGCCGCCGTAATGAAAATGAATGAATAAAAGAGCAGGTGGTGCAGGTGTCAGACATCACAGTTCTGTTTATTATCCAACCTTAGACCGGGAAGAGTCATGCTCTGGTTTTATTGCTGTGGCAGGACCTGCAGTACAACAACTCTCCAGAAGAGGGCAGCGCGTTTTGCTGAATATTCAGTGAAAGTTTGGAGAGGCACCTTTGACTGAATATGAAAGACTCTATGCAAATTAAGCAGACCAGCAACTGACAAACTGATCTGAAACTCTGTAGGATATATGAAGCAGCACGAGCCAAGGGATTTTTATAAACAGTAGACGCTTAATTTTCCTGTCACAGAGTTGTTAGATATGCACAAGTCTTTATTTGGTGCGCTCAGTTGCTGTGGGGCTGAAGTGCACTACACAGTCTGGTTTAAATGGATCAGATGTAAATACCAAACTAAACCAGAGCCACACCAAACATTTCTCCAGAAACGAAGCAAACTTCATTTGCAGTGTTGGGAGAAACGTGTTATAAAAGTAATGAATTACTGTAATGTGTTGCTTTTTGCTCTAACAGAGTAATGTGGAATTACAGGGAAAAAGTTTTTTATATTTTACTCGGTACAAATGTCAGTAACGCGCATTATAATAAATTTTTAACCTGGATTGAAGTGGTGGATTTTTCTTCTTACAAATTTGCTAAAATCACCACGAGACACCCCGTCTGCAAGGCACTTCCAATTTCTAGTCCATGATTGGTCCTGGTTTGGTCCTGGTTTAGTCCTGGGTTAGACCTGGCTTAGACCTGGGTCAGTTCTGGTTTAAACCTGGTTTAATCCTGGTTCAGATCTGGTTTAGATCTAGTTTAAATCTAGTTTAGACCTAATTTAGACCTAATTTAGTCCTGGTTCAGCTCTGGTTTAGATCTAGTTTAGACCTAGTTTAGTCCTGGTTCAGTCCTGGTTCAGCTCTGGTTTAGTCCCGGTTCAGCTCTGGCTAATCCTGGTTCAGTCCTGGTTCAGTCCTGGTTGGTTCAGTCCTGGTTCAGTCCTGGATTAGCTCTGGTTTAGTCCTGGATTAGCTCTGGTTTAGCTCTGGTTCAGCTCTGGTTCAGCTCTGGTTCAGCTCTGGTTTAGCTCTGGTTTAGCTCTGGTTTAGCTCTGGTTTAGCTCTGGTTTAGCTCTGGTTTAGCTCTCGGTTCAGTCCTGGTTTAGTCCCTTTACAGCACAAAAGTTCCGCATCTTCGCAGTTATTTTGGTGCGAGTAACTTAAAAGTAAAACAATAGTCGTGTCATATTTTACACTTTAAAACACAGTAATATTGTAAAGTAACGAATCACTTTGAAATGACAGAAACACGTCATAAAATAACACATTACAGTTTTAAAGTCACTTGCCTGACAGTGTTCATTTGTGACGCACAGCAGAGTTCACTTTAATCACATCATGAGTGAACACGCCCTGAGTTTTAGTTTGTATTACAATCACATTTACTCCTGAGAGACAGACAGACGGACGGACAGAGGGACGGAGGGAGGGAGGACACATCCACATTTCCCTCCGTCACAGTAAAAGGAACGGGCCGTGCCTCAGTGTGAATTAAACGAATGAGGATATGAGAGCTTCCATTAGGACATTGTTCATAGAAAATGTAGTCAGACCTGTATTTATCCTGTCACTTCTTCTAGAAAAGATTCTCCTTCTGTTCTTTCCGTCATCGGCTTTGACGGCCCAAATGTCACCCATAATCCTTTGCTCCAGGCTATAGTCATGATTCTGTCAAGTCTTTATGAACCATCTTTAATCATGTGTGAGCCTGTGGAGGGGGTGAGCGTGTATGTGGGTGTATGTGGGTGTATGTGTGCTGTGTTGTGGAGGGGTGTGTGGCGTTTTACTGCCATAATTTTGATTTAGTTTTTATTTAATTCTTGAATAATATGTAATATGCACATCAAGAATCTCTGACTTCCGGTCATTGCGCAGTGCATACTGGGAAGGAGTTTGCAGCGAACATTTTGTATGTGGAGCGCCAACAAAGTGGGATCCTGTTTGTTAAGCGAGAGGTGCAGAAGACAAACAGACTGAGCTCACAAATCCGTGTATCATTCCTTCATTCGTTTTTCAATAGAAAATCAAAAATAAGAAAATGAAAAAACAACAGTTTTCTTCATTATTTGTCTTCAAGGCCAAAATGAAAAAACAGATAATGATTTGTCTTTTTCAGTTTTCGATTTTGTGTCCGGAACCAGAGCGGGACTAGAGCGGGACTAGAGCGGGACTAGAGCGGGACTAGAGCGGGACTAGAGCGGACTCTGAGCTTTGACTCCGAGCCTCAGCTTCAAGCTCCGGCCCTGCCGTGGGATCTGAGCCTCCGATCTGGTCCACTAGAGGTCAGTGTTTGTCCGAGGCCTCAAGGGCCGTTCACACCAAGGCGTCAAAGCGTCCAGTTTCAATGTAAAGTCTATGTGGACGCGCGACTAGAGCGTCCTGCGTTTTTGCGGCACGTTTTCGGCATCAGCGCAGCGCGAATCTGGCGTTGACGCGGCGCATCTTGAGCGCTTTGGCTTCGGCGGTCTAGACGCGCGTCCAAGGCGTCAGCGTCAAGAATTTGAAAATGCTGAACTTTTCGCGTCAGACGCGCCACGTCAACCAATCAGGGACGAGTATCCAGTGACGCAGCGACGTTATTATCAGGAAGAAAAACCCGAGAACCAGAGCGAGAACCACAAACATGAACGGAGAATAAATATATACGCCACAATCACCGAGCCGATCACGAGGACTACACCAGGACCGGACCAGGACTAAACCAGGACTAGACCCTGAAATAGACCGGGACTAGACTGGGACTAGACCAGGACTAGACCGGGACTGATCCAGTGTCATTAGTGGAGTATAAATATATCGACGACCCGATCTCCTCCGCTGATGTTTTATGTCATAAAAACACTCTCTCAGTCTGGTCTGACATCGTTTCAGGAAAAGATTGGGGCCGGGCTCTTGTTTCCAGGGCAATGGACGCGCGTCAAGTATTTCTCCCGTTCGTCCACGGCGTCAAAGACGGGGGTCGGGGGCGTCTAAACTCAAATGCAAAGGCGTCCAAATAGAGGCGTCAAGGCGTTTTTTGACGCTTTGGTGTGAACGGCCCTTCAGACACGTCGAACCATTTGAGACAATATTGCGACTGAGGTGTCAATGCTTCACGAGGCTCCATTCGCCCATCACTAGTAAAAAGAACTCTTTAGTGACTACACGAGGAGGTGGTGTGATATGGGGTTGGTTTGTGTGTGTGTGTGTGTGTGTGTGTATGTGTGTGTGTATGTGTGTGTGTATGTGTGTATGTTGGTGGTACAGACCTGATCCAGCCATGCCCTGGCCCATGCTGTAGGCTCCTGTGTTCCACATGTTCTCTGAGGGGGAGGTGTAGTGCGAGCCTGGAGGAGGGTTGGGGGTGGTGCCCGTGTACCTGCACACATATATACACACCATACACACAAACACACAAATAGAACATGAGTGCACCGTCAGAATCAAACTCAGACCATTTAATTCACCCCAAATAGTATAGAAAAGGAGGTACTGTATTTTCCGGGCTATTAGGCGCTCTGGATTATAAGGCACACTGTCATTAAAGGGTCTATTTTCTAACTTTTTTCACAAATAAATCGCACCGGACTTTAAAGGAAACACAACAGTTGGATGGGTGAGTGGTTTTGTTTGTTTGTTCGTTCACGATGACTCTGGGCTTTGTTCAGTTGTGGCGTGTAGGGAGGGTGCTGTCTGGGGCCGCTGGATTGTCGGCGTGTTCGCAGTGACTCAGTTGTTCAGTTGTGTCTAGAAGCGGCACATTGCGCTCGCTTTTTCGGTCCGTTCCTCGTCGGCGTGGAGTGATGAGTGTGTCTGTGGGTGTTTTTCACCGCGCGGTCACTGTCTGCTCCGTGTGTGTTTCTGTGTTCTGTAGGTGGTGCAGCTTTGTAGTTTACTGAAGTCGTGCTGGATTCGTGTATCGGGCGCTCTGGATTGCGGGGAGCACGGTCGTTTTTTTTACAAAGGATGTCCCAGAGTATTTTAAGAGACGTGCAACATCCACTAAACTCAGAGTTTCAGCTGCTTCCCTCTGGTCAGAGGCTTTTAGTCCCAAGATCTAGAACGAATCGTTTTAAAAGGAGCTTCGTTCCGGCTGCGATCGTACTTATGAATAAACTGTAATCTATTTATCTAAGATTGTGTGTTTTAACATATTTAATATTTACTGTGATTTTAGCCAAGCGTGATGGATGATTTTAATTGGTTGTTTATGGAACAAACCATTCTGCACTGGAGCTCTGTAACACTATTTTGTAATTGTGATTTTATGTGTGTTTTGTGGATGAATGAAATGTGAAATGTGGAACCTGTCTCTCAAATCTGCAAAGCAAATTTACCTACGGGTACGAATAAAGCAACCTAACCTAACCTTTTTTGATGGGGTTTGAGGCTTAAGAGCGTGTCTAATAGCCCAGAAAATACGGTAAACATTTTTGTATCATTACAGCACTAAGGGACAGACTCAATACTCAATACTGAATCCGTGTAATCGCTCAGTGGTCCATGTGCGTACACTAGTCTACGTGCTCTTACACTAGTTCTGACACAGCTCAAAATCATTCTAAAGTTTCAAGAAAGGTTCATTTCTGTTCCGTGAATGGTTCTTTTTTAGTATCGATACCTGCTCAAATGAGTATCTACTTTCGCTTCTACTTTTAGTCACGTCCGTTAGTGTCAGTTCAGTCGGGTGACATGAGCAGAAAGTTCACGACCTTTGCGTTAAAAACCTAAATCGCTGTTATCTTTAATCTCTACACCTTCCTGGCATCGTGTCACTTCACTTTTCCAAATGCTTGCCTCCGTCGAGATGTTATCATTTTGCCTATAACGTTCCGTTATAAGTGTTTTTTATTGCTGAAAAATACCTTGGGAAAACACCTCTCCACTGATCTGACTTGTAACTTTGCCTTTTGGAGTTTGCTACAAGTTTAAGCTTTGTGGAACATTCCAGGCAAAGCACTAAATTGATGATGTTGATTGGAGACAAAGCGGCGGCTAGTGCTGTACCAGAAAAGTTACACGGTGCAGCTTTAACACAAATAATACGATAAGAGTTGCCTACTAGAACACAACACGACACTGTAGTCTGTGCTGTTTGTGCGGTTAAACGGTAAATATGTTGATGCAATAGTAGCGCAGAGGTACGTGTTGTTCTGTTACCTCGCGCGCATTCCTGTTGCATGTACATTTTTACATATTGCTTCACTGTACTTGCGGTTAGATGGCTGCTAAACTGCATTTTGTTGCGCTTGTACAAGTCTAATGACAATATTTTTCAATCTAATCTCATGTGAAAATGATTGCAGTGGACCTATAAGCAAAAGTATGCAAAAATATGACCACATGTGACAATCTTTAAATACTGTTCATTCATATTTCATAGTTGAGCTGGGAAAAAACGCGAGTGTGTCGTCTAGGGATGCAACGATACAGTTTTCGTTACAGATTTGATACGTATCTCGATACACGGGTCACGATATCGGTTTGATTTCAATATGTTTTAAGACGTAAAAAAAAAAAACATGTAATTTTTTCTGTTAATGAGTATAATATAATAACACTAAGGTCGGGTATCATTAAGAAGTTGCTGATATGATACATACATTTCTCGATACTGTGCACTTTCGATTTGATGCGATATATTTCAAATCGATTCGATACGGTTCAATAAAAAATAAAGGCTAAATCGTGGCTGTGATACTAAAAGTCTTTGTTACACCACTTCTTGTGCAAACTGAATATGAAACACAAACGTTTTAATCATCAAAACTGAAAATGTCAAACGTGTCGTCGCATTAATGAGTTTCCTTCCACTGAACAAGCAACAAAACTGTAGCGCTGAAACAAAATTATTTAGTAAAATGTACCAAAAATTACACTTACAAATACTCGATAGAGCAGCCCACTATATATATATATATATATATATATATATATATATATATATATATATATATATATATACATATATATATATATATATATATATATATATATACATATATATATATATATATATATATATATCAAGACTCTATCATCACATTAAACGATACGATATATTGATAATTCAATATTTCTGCACATCTCTAATAACACTGTGATATTAACAGTATTGGGAAGGTGACTTTTAAAATGTAATCCCCTACAGATTACAGATTACATACCCCAAAATGTAGTTTGTAACGTAATCCATTAAATTACTTAAAGTGAGTAACGTAATCTGAATACTTTGGATTACTTGATTTTCTGTAGAGAAGCAAAGACTCGGATATCTTCACATAAGATGTTTTGTCTGCTAAAAGAAAATAAAAAGCCCAGTCTTTCCTTAACCGTATTAAAAATATTATTGATAGAAAGGTTTCGTCCTGTTAAATCCTGCTTTAGTCCTGTTTTAGTACTGGTTTACATCTGGTTTAGTACTGGTTTAGATCTGGTTTAGTACTGGTTTAGATCTGGTTTAGTCCCGGTTTAGATCTAGTTTAGATCTGGTTTAGACCTGGTTTTAGACCTGGTTTAGATCTGGTTTAGTAATGGTTTAGACCTGGTTTAGATCTAGTTTAGACCTGGTTTTAGCCCTGGTTTAGACCTGGTTTAGATATAGTTTAGATCTGGTTTAGATCTAGTTTAGACCTGGTTTTAGCCCTGGTTTAGACCTGGTTTTAGATCTGGTTTAGTCCTGGTTTAGACCTGGTTTAGATCTAGTTTAGACCTGGTTTAGATCTAGTATAGACCTGGTTTTAGCCCTGGTTTAGCCCTGGTTTTAGACCTGGTTTAGCCCTGGTTTAGTCCTGGTTTAGTCCTGGTTTAGATATAGTTTAGACCTGGTTTAGATCTAGTTTAGACCTGGTTTTAGCCCTGGTTTAGACCTGGTTTAGTCCTGGTTTAGTCCTGGTTTAGTCCTGGTTTAGTCCTGGTTTAGATCTAAGTTAGACCTGGTTTTAGTCCTGGTTTTGACCTGGGTTCAGTCCTGGTTCAATCCTGATTTAGTCCTGGTTTAGTCTTGGTTTTTGTCCTGGTTTACGTAACTCTGGTACATGTAATCTGTTACTCCCCAACACTGGATATTAATGAAACATTACATACATTACACAAAGTAGAACTACTGTACAGTTGTAGTTTATATGTGAAGTGTTTTAGTTTATTTGGTTCAATGATTTACAGCATTTTTATTCAGAGAAAATAAGAACAGAGCTTTCTCGGGCTATTTTATATTTCATAATACAGCCAGTCTACTCTTAATACGGACTGTAGAGGAGTTACACGATCAGATTTCTTTGTTGATTTCTTTTCATTTCCTCCTAAGTCTGAGTTCACACAGACTCCTGTCGGTGCTGCTCTGCCTCGACTCCAACAGCAGCAGAGACAGACAGCAGCTCCTCACACACTCACCTGCTCTTTTTTACATACACTGCGCTCTAACATCCTCTTTATGAACACAAAAACTATTACACAGAAATGTCTCAACAGACCGTTTTCTGAGTAAAACTTATGAGATCGTGTCTAAGAAAAAGATCGTGTATATTGCGAGTCGCATTGCGGGTGCTTATACGAGCGCATTTGATGTAAAGCCAAAAGCAAATAGAACGTATTTAAAAAGTTAAAAGTTAATATCTTTGTCGTTCCTGAGTCTCTGTTAGAATATTTCAGTTCTTATCGAGCGGTTTTCTTGCTGCATCTGAGGAGGACACTCTGATTACCGTTTCTTTTTTGGACCAAAAATAAATGACAACACAGCGCACAGGACACGTATATCGACCGAACACCTGTATCGAACAATTCGTTATTATATGGAACATCGTTGCATCCCTTGTAGGGGTGTGCAAAAATATTGATATATCGTATTGTTTAATGTGATGTTACAGTGTCGATATTGGGGGCTGCTGTATCGATATACCGCCAAGAGTATTTTTTGGTATATTTTACTCAGTTATTTTGTTACAGTGATACAGTTTTGCTGCTTGTTTAGAGGAAGGAAACTAATTTATGCAACACATTTGACATTTTCAGTGTTTTGATTACAGTGTTTGTGTTTCATATGAACTTTGCACAAGAAGTGGTTTAACAAAGACTTTTAGTATCACAGCCATGATTTAGCCTTTATTTTTTATTGAACCTTATCAAATCGATTTGAAATATATTGTATCGGACTGAAAGTGCACTGTATCGAGGAAACTTTTTAATAATACCCAGCCCTATTCCCTCGTGTCCTCTTCTTATAACAGGACTGTTGTGTGTGTACAGTGTGTGTGTGTGTGTGGGGTCTGACCTGAAGAAGGGGTTCTTGAGGTCCAGCAGGTTACTCGACTTGGATCCGGTCTGGTCCACCTGGGCCACTATACTGATGTCGTAACTTTGTCTGAGAGAGAGAGAGAGAGAGCACTATTAAAACCACATACCGTATTTTCCGGGCTATTAGACGCGCTCTTAAGCCTGCAACCCCATCAAAAAATGACCGCGCGCCACAATCCAGAGCGCCCTATACACGAATCCACTCGGGTGTCCCAACACGACTTCAGTAAACTACAAAGCCGCACCACCCACAGAACACACAAACACACACGGAGCAGACAGCGACCGCACAGAGAAAAACACCCACAGACACACTCATCACTCCACGCCGACGAGGAACGGAATGGAGGAACGAACCAAAAAAGCGAGTGCAATTTGCTTTTCTGAGCCACAACTGAACAACTGAGTCACTGCGAACACGCCGACAATCCAGCGGTCCCAGACAGCACCCTCCCTACACGCCACAACTGAACAAAGCCCAGAGTCACCGTGAACGCACCAAACAAACAAAACCACTCACCCATCCAACTGTTGTGTTTCCTTTAAAGTCCGGTGCGGTTTATTTGTGAAAAAAATTTGAAAATAGACCATTTAATGACAGTGCGTCTTATAATCCAGAGCGCCTAATAGCCCGGAAAATACAATACCACAGTTCTAACACAATGACAGCAAGAGTTCACTTTAGACTTCAACTAAAAACGTGTCCAAGATTCTCATATTCAGTTTAAACAGTGACACTCTGGGTTAATCCGACCCTAAAGCAGGAGGTCTCCAGCCTGTAGCTTGGAAAGGGGCTGAAGAGCGACTCTGAGCTCCCAAGCGGCTCTTCTGGATTTAGGGGTTATTCATATGAGTGAATAATTAAATTACTCATTCTGATTCTCACATGCCCATGATCACTGTGGACTGAGGCTTTGTGCATAAAAAAATAAATAAATAAAAGAAGAATGGTTCATGTTCAACTGCCATAACGGTCCCATCTGTCACGGTTACATCAAGAGGAGCAGCTCTCTGTCATTTTGGTTTTGTGGGAGTGGTTCTCTGGTGGAAAGGGTTTGGGGAGCCCTGCCCTAGTACCGTACACGGAGGCAGTACTGTGTATAAGGGCAGTACCTCTTGTTGGCGACCAGCACGGCGGTCCCGGACAGCGTGTCTCCGGCCTTGGTGAAGAGGGGGGACTGCAGCAGACAGCGCACCTGGTACCAGTGGGTCAGAGGCTCAGTGGGCGCCGTGGACAGCCAGATGGTCATTCTGCAGGAGAACGACACACACACACACACACACGAATAAATATGGGCAAACGCTGAACATATGACAGCATGACGATGACTCATTTGGTTCCATTTTCTGACGCATTTGCATTTCACATTTTATAATAAAATAAGCTCCAGGGAGTATCAGCTTTGAATATAGACACAGACTATACAGACTATACCCTGCTCTTAAATGAAACAGTCTCAAAGGATACAGATAATAAACAAATAATGCTCCCTACAACTGTACAACTCACCATTATGTAACAGATAATACTCCCTACAACTGTGCAACTCACCTTCTTGTAACAAATAATAATCCCTACAACTGTACAACTCACCTTTATGTAACAGATAATACTCCCTACAACTGTACAACAACTCGCCCTCAAGTAACAGATAATACTCCCTACAACTGTACAACAACTCGCCCTGATGTAACAGATAATACTCCCTACAACTGTACAACTCATCTTCATGTAACAAATAATACTCCCCACAACTGTAACAGATAATACTCCCTACAACTGTACAACAACTCGCCCTCAAGTAACAGATAATACTCCCTACAACTGTACAACAACTCGCCCTTATGTAACAGATAATACTCCCTACAACTGTACAACAACTCGCCCTGATGTAACAGATAATACTCCCTACAACTGTCCAACAACTCGCCCTTATGTAACAGATAATACTCCCTACGACTGTAACAGATAATACTCCCTACAACTGTACAACAACTCACCTTCATGTAACAGATAATACTCCCTACAATTGTACAACAACTCACCCTTATGCAACAGATAATACTCCCTACAACTCGGCCCTTATGTAGCAGATAACCCTGTCCTGTCAATCATTATATCATTGTTGCATTGTCTTCCTCTTATATAAAGCTAAGATTTTATATTTTATTACTTATTTTTCCATTTTATTTTGACTTGTACATTCACATTTATATAATTCTGTCTCATTTGACACCTGTCTCTTGCCATTTTTTATTTATAATTTGTATTTATATTATTTTTATTTGTATTATACTGCGATGTGTGAGATACTGTGTCCAAACAATTTCCCTTGTGGATCAATAAAGTTTGTCTAAATCTAAGGTGACATTCAGCTCTCTTGTGCTTTAGTACTACAGAGGTCAGCAGCGCAAGTACTGCAGACAGAGCACAATTTATGGTCGTGTCTCAAATCGTCTGCGTCGTCGTGAACCCACTCCGATCGACGTGCACCTCTGAAATTTTCTAACTACGCTTCGAACCGATGCAGAGTGTAAGTGCTGTGATTGGTCCTCTCTACCACCGCTCTACATGCGCTTCTGGTTCTCCGCTTTCCTGCTTCATTTTGTAAACACGAAGGCCATTTTTAAATCCTAACCTCCTAGCGTTGTGGCGGTGAATTGCTTTGCGGCGCGTAGACCTCGAAGCAGATCCATAAATCAAAAACGATGGCGACAAGGCAACGGCGGCAGTGTATGTTGAGTTGATGCAGAACTATAATTCGATCTTTAAACTCTCTAGCTCACAAGAGAAGGAGGAGGAGTCTTTACTTACACTGAGCCCATGAACGCCACGTCGAACCAGAAGGCCAGGCCGTGCACCAGGCCTGAGTGCATCATGTGGAACTTAAAGGGGATCTCTATCCTTCAGAGGAGAGAAAAAGATCAAAGGTCAGTCACACATCAGGACAGCATTGTGTGTGTGCTTATATAATTTAAATATATGTGTACACAAGTGTCCACACCTGTACAGGTCCTCTTCTTTGGCCTCCAGGAAGTTCACTGTGTACTTGACCGATTTGGCCATCAGAATACGGATATCGAAAGTGTCCTAGGGCAGAGCAGAGGCAAAGTTACACCACTGACAAAAAAGTAAAGTGAAGCACATTTACTACACTTCTTTAAATCTAAACTGAGTAAAACATCTTCTCAGCTAGAGCACTGAAAAGAGACAGTACGTAAGATTTAGATTTGAAATGTTATAAACTGGACCCATCTGTGTCCCCAGATACGAGGTAAACGTGTTCAAATCAAATATAACTTTTATGTAACAACACAGACACCAAATTTATTAATGTTATAATCTGATGTTTTTGTTCTCAAGATCAGAAAGCAAATGAGAATGTCATGTGAGGCTCAGTTTCAATAATTTAACACCTCTCTCTGATCTGAACTGTCTCTACCTAAACACCAGCACCTACAGAAAATCATGAATCTGAGCTGCAGAGGCTGCACTAGCACTGAGAGTGAATTCTGGAGGTTCTGAGCTTTCACATGAGGCCTGTCCATTAAAGGAGAAGGAAACAAACTTGGACGTGTCTTGGTTACGTCTCTGGAGACACAGGGTCAGTTGTGAGTGTAATAACTTTTTAAAAACACTAAGAATGCAGACTACGTGCAGTTCCGAATACAACAAAATCGGAAGTGAGAACCTACTGTATTTTTCGGACTATGAGTGGCACTTTTTTTCATGGTTTGGGTGTTTCCAGCGACTTGTATATAAAATTATTCACTGAAGCGTTGAGAGGTTCTAGTCTTGTGTGTCAGTATCTGCTGCTCCTGTTCCTTCTGTACCACTGTCACTTCACTCTACTGCGCATGTCTCCTACAGAAAGAGTCTCTGTCCTGCTGCAAGTCGTGAAATCTGCAGCCGAAAATGGTAATCGAGCAGCAGAAAGAAAGTTTGGAGTGAGTGAAAAACTTGCGAGGGACTGGCGGGAAGCAGGGATGGAGAACACGGCTTCACAGTAACCGGGAGGATGAACCATGCAACTTTCCTGAAGTCACTGGATGGATCGACAAAGCCTGGACTTCAGTGACACCAAAACCATCCTGTCGGGATTCAGAAAGGCCCGAATAATTCTAACTGGAACTGATGCTGAGTCTGACGACAGCGACACAGAAGAGGAAGCGGCGCTCTGTTTACCTCTGGGGGTCGCGGAGTTACTCAGAAGTGACACAGAGGATGAAGAATTGAATGGATTTAGTGATTTGGAGTGAGATGGAGAGTTTGGTAAACTTGTTCTGTTCTGTTGTTTATGTTATAATTTATCTGAAGAACTGTTCATATGTGACGTTAACAGTCTGTCGATCTCTCTTCTGTTGTTATTACTAGAACTTGACTTTCACAATGAAATGCCGGTTCCTGGTCTCTGATTTCATAAAATACATTTCCCACAAAAACTGCAACTTGCGCTTGTTTTTTTCTTCTTCATTACGCATTTTTTGGCTGGTGCGACATACTCCGGAGCGATTTATAGTCCGAAAAATACAGTGATACAAGAATCCCACCCATATCAGAACATGTTTGCATCATGTCTCTGTGGATAAACCCAGACTTTGTACATTTCAATTACAACCAAAGTATACGATATAATTGTATGAATCAGCACTGTAGAACTGTGTTTAAAGGTTGTATGGAGGATTATTATTTTTTTGTTTCAAATTGTCAATGAAAGTTTAAAATACCATTACAGAGATGCAGCAGCCTTGTAATTATGATGACCACAAAAAAATGAATGAAAATCTATCAACTGTGGACGTAGTGAGGCCAGATAAACATCAGCCAATAGAAAACGAGGCTCCTTCATTTTCTATTGGCTGTTAGGTTGTCAATCAAACTCCCTTGTGTAACTGACTCCCCGGTGCGTGGGGATTACATGGTTTATGCAGCGGTTCTTAGAGGCTTTTTCTAATTGTAGCTTCCTCACATTTCAGACAAAGTTTGTTGCGATGGCGGACGAGAATCCATGACCAGTTCGCCGCAAAAGAAAGTCAATTTTTGAGCTGAAAAAAGAAGAGAAGGGGAAAAGGAGCGAAGCAAAAGAAAGTCAATTTTTGAGCTGAAAAAAGAAGAGAAGGGAAAAGGAGCGAAGACAAACTGAGGTGATTCCTGGAGATTCTTTCCAGCGATTGTGCGACTGAAGCAGACAAAGGGTCTATAAACGGACGCATCGGTCGCTAAATTACTTCTAGACAGGTCACTTCAACAGTAATTCTGAACACGCGCTGGATGTAAACAAGGGTGATTTCTAGAGTAAAGAGGCGGGAGGACTGTCACTGTATTTATCTTCCCTTTAAAAAAAAATCCTCTATACAACCTTTAAATAACTGCGGTAAAACACAGCAAACGTACTACTATTGGCTGTCTGAAATACTCATCGACCGCTGCTCCTCGAAGCGCAGACAGGTCGACCCCGTGGAAAGACGGCTGGTACCTGGAAACAAAAACAAACAAACAAACAAGGACCACAGCCATTACCATCGACAGTTTGGAGCTGAGAAAGAATATTTGGTATGTAAAGTCATTTGGTGAGGTAATCTTCACAAGTACCAGAAGTTGGCCTTGGTGAACTGTTCCATGTAAAGCTGCTCGTCTGTGAAGGGGGCCAAGTGCACGTCTCCGATGGTGGGGAACATTTTACCTGCGACATATCCACATCCATAACGTAAATACAAAAGGAGCAGATATTTTACAAGTTCTGTACCATCCAAGGGCTTCAGAATGGAGAAAAATGTACACCGCTGCCACCAATACAGATAGATTGTAAAAGCAGATCAAAATATGTGTTTGAAACTAATTATAAAGCACTTTAAAGGGTAAAAAAGTTGAGAAAAGTGGTTATAAACTCATTGTGGTGAATAATTAAGATGCTCTGAATGCATGAGGGAAGTGAGGAAGAACTTTGACCCACTGCAAACTGTATAAAACGTTCAGTTCCAGTTCTGTTTTTCACGTTTTTCAGACAATAAAAAACATTCACAGCTCCTTTCGACAAAGGAATCACTGTTTTTAATGAGAGTATTTTTCAGCAAATGATTAACATAATGAATTTGACAAGCTTTGGATCTCGTGATGATACTTACACATGTCATATCTGCTGTCTAAGTCAAAGTATAAACACTAAAATCATCAAAAGTAGCTAAAACTCTTTACAGTAATGACACGTTCAAGTACACAATTCACCAAAACAGAGTTAAAATCATTATATTTAAGTATTGTGACTTGTTTAACACATTATTATTATTATTCCATACTTGGGATACAATGATATTTGATATAATATTGAAAATATTGTTCGATACTGGTGTCATGATTCGATACACGTGTTTGGTCTATAACCTTGGGCGCTGTGTCATTTATTTTGGTCCAAAAGAGAAAGAGTTACAGCAGCATTTTCCCCAGATGCAACAAGAAAACAGCTCCACAGGGACTTAGAGCTGAAATATTCTAGCAGAGGGGGGGTTTATCTTCCAGTCACTTTTTATTTTACGTTGACAGACCCAGGAACGGCAAAAATATAAACTTTTAAATACCTTAGAATCACTTTTGGAATTACATCAGCTTTAATCAAATGCGCTTGTAAACACACCCGCAACACGTGATATGGGCAGTCTTTTTCTTAGACTCTTTCTTATAAACGGTCTGTTGAAACATTTCTATGTAATATATACTATATTCATAGTTTGAGTGTCCAGAAAAAAGCTGGGAGAGTGCAGTGTGTGTAAAAAGAGCGGGGCAGTGTGAGAGGAGCTACTGTCTGTCGCTGACACAGATTCTTATTTTCAGTGAATAAAAATGGTGTCAATTAGGGATGTAACGATACGATATTATCACGATATTAATTTCATGGTACGATATTTATTGCGATATTTTGGAGTATAATTGTAGACAGGATACTTTTTGCATTTAAAATACTTTGGCAAGACTTAAGTGTGAATCATTACTGTTATAATCCCAAGAATTACAGTAAAAAACATATTTCTTCACGTTGTCCGCGCTGAAATGGATCATGGCATATGGAGTTCCCGATGTTTTTGGTTGTATAAAATAATGCATGTAATCAAAAGAACTTGTAATTCGATATATTGTGACAGCCAACGATATTATTGTGACTATTTTGACAATACAGTATCACAATATTTTGGTTATTGTTGCAACCATAGTGTAAATCCTTGAACCAAATGAACTACCGTATTTTCTGGGCTACTAGGTGCTCTGGATTATAAGGCGCACTATTAAATGGTCTATTTTCGAACTTTTTTAACAAATAAACCGCACCGGACTTTAAATGAAACACAACCGTGTGATGGGTGAGTGGTTTTGTTTGTTTGTTCGTTCACGGTGACTCTGGGCTTTGTTCAGTTGTGACGTGTAGGGAGGGTGCTGTCTGGGACCAACAGATTGTCGGCGTGTTCGCAGTGACTCTGTTGTTCAGTCGTGTCTAGAAGTGGCACATTGGACTCGCTTTTTCGGTTCGTTCCTCCGTTCCGTTCCTCGTCGGCGTGGAGTGATGAGTGTGGCTGTGGGTGTTTTTCGCTGTGCGGTCGCTGTCTGCTCCGTGTGTGTTGGCATGCGCTTTGTATGGTGGTGCGGCTTGTAGATTCGTGTATGGGGCGCTCTGGATTGCAGGGCGCGCGGTCATTTTTTGATGGGGTTGGAGGCTTAAGAGCGTGTCTAATAGCCCAGAAAATACGGTAATACAGTTGTACACAATACAACAGTACAACTTTACAGTAGTTACTGTAGTGTACTGTGTGTATCTTTTCATTAATATCATAGCGTTATTATATTTTACTCAGATTTTTTGTGTGTGTGTCTTAAAGTGCATCGAAATCAAATCAATATCATGACCAGTGTATCGAGATATGTATCGAATCGTGGGAAAACTGTATCGCTGCATCCCTATTCCATAAACATTTTACCTTGTACTTGTTTTGTTATTGTCATTTTAAATACGCTCTTGTGCTCCTGCTCCCAAACAGCCTGTGACGTGTTCGTTCCAGACACAGTGACATTAGTGGCGCTCACCGTTGGGCTTGAGGAACTTCTTGGCGTGCAGGTAGCTCTCCAGCATGCGCTCGTTGAACAGCATGTAGCCCATGGGCTCCGAGATGATGATGTCCACCTGCTCCGGCAGAGTCACCTCCTCCACCTTCCCCGGGATCACCACCACGCGCTCTGACAGACGGTTACTGTTCACCAACACCTGCAGCACAGACGCTACACTGAGTACAGCAAAGTCACACAGCACAATCCAGAGTGATGTGGGAAACTTTGTAATGCATGCAAATGTTTAGACCCCACAACCTGGTGATAGAATTCAGATTTATACTTAAAGTTCACATGACCGGTTGTTGGGAGGTCAATATTTACAACATTTTCCATTCCTTGTATTCAGGTTTGGTGATTAAAATAAAAAAATCACTGGCAGTTTGTGTGTCATGCAAAATGTTTACAATTTAAGAACATTTCATAGCATATATTTCTACTGTTTGCAATATGAGAGAAGCCCACGGCATAGTGTGTACAGACATTACCTCTGCGTGTTGGGCCATGGTGCTGGCCTCCACTGCATACACTTTCCTGGCTCCAGCCTGAGCCGCGAAGAACGACAGGATCCCCGAACCACAGCCCACGTCCAGCACCACCTGTGGACACCAGCGGTCACTACAGAACAGTGTGAGAGCAACCAGAGCTCACTAGAGAACTACTGAGGACACCAGCGCGCACTAGAAAACTACTGAGGACACCAGCGCGCACTAGAGAACTACTGAGGACACCAGCGCGCACTAGAGAACTACTGAGGACACCAGCGCGCACTAGAGAACTACTGAGGACACCAGCGCGCACTACAGAACTACTGAGGACACCAGCGCGCACTACAGAACTACTGAGGACACCAGCGCGCACTACAGACCTACTGAGGACACCAGCGCACACTACAGAACTACTGAGGACACCAGCGCACACTACAGAACTACTGAGGACACCAGCGCACACTAGAGAACTACTGAGGACACCAGCGCGCACTAGAAAACTACTGAGGACACCAGCGCGCACTAGAGAACTACTGAGGACACCAGCGCACTACTACTGAGGGACACCAGCGCGCACTACAGAACTACTGAGGACACCAGCGCGCACTAGAGAACTACTGAGGACACCAGCGCTCACTACAGAACTACTGAGGACACCAGCGCGCACTACAGAACTACTGAGGACACCAGCGCGCACTACAGAACTACTGAGGACACCAGCGCGCACTACAGAACTACTGAGGACACCAGCGCGCACTACAGAACTACTGAGGACACCAGCGCGCACTACAGAACTACTGAGGACACCAGCGCGCGCACTACAGAACTACAGACACTACTACTGAGGACACCAGACGCACACTACAGAACTACTGAGGACACCAGCGCGCACTACAGAACTACTACAGAACTACTGAGGACACCAGCGCGCACTACAGAACTACTGAGGACACCAGCGCGCACTACAGAATACAACAGCTGTAGGAGACCTGTGTGAATTAGTGTTGAACGGTATCCAAATTTTGATACAGTTAAACCTTCTCAGGATTTTACTGGGGTAATATCAAAATGAACCAAAATGAACCAAACAAAGCCGCGCCGCTGTACGGTCTATGTGTATGACCTGCAGACGTATAATCTCTGAAAAGTTTCACATGAACCATCTCCAACGCGATACACACACAGAACAGACTCATCATCAGCAGCACATCCTCTGTCACAGAGAGAACACTCATATTCCACTGATTCGTGTCCTTTAGTCCGACAGAAGCTGAACCACATCCACGTAAAAGGAGCGAGCTGTTTTTATCTGCGCTTTATAATTTATACAAATGAGCCATGTGGTTTTAAGTTTAATTTCTGTAAAACGTAAACAAATGTGCGCCTGAAGCCAAAATGCTGCCAAATTGTAGAAGTACTAGTATGTTTTTGGGACCAACTCGCTTGCGGACGGGCTTGCAATCTTGTCTTGGTCTCCCTTATGAACGTCACATGACAACAGAACAAAACTAATCAAACTTTAACTTCTTGGGTTCTTTTTAAAGACAATGCAGTAAAGTGTGTTTACCTTGTTGACATGTAAACACACTTTACTGCATTGTCTTTAAAAAGAACCCAAGAAGTTAAAGTATATAAGAAGATAAAATGAACATCTTTTGCTTAAAACTAATCAAACGTCGTCTACCCACGCAGTTAAAAGAAACATTATAGATACTATCAGTTTTAAATCGTGATAGCATTAAATTGAAAAAGCAACCACACGTTCATTTGTGCTGAGCAAACAAATGTAGGTATCAATAAATTATAATATTATATTGGGTCCTGATGCGCTGCAGATTTTTATGACGGTCATGAAACTGATAGTGTTGCCACTATTTGATACCGCGGGATACCGTAATACCATAATACCGCCCAACCCTACTGTGAATAAAAACCATAAACCCGTGTATATTTTTTGCTTTGGATGAGCAGAGCACATTTTAAGATGGTTAAAAGTCTCAACCTGAAGGATTGTCTGTTTCATTGTCACCGTTCTAAAAGGCTCTGTTATACTCTGTTAGTGTCAAGAGCTGGTTCTGTGTTCAGACATCTAATCAGGTTCCAAGCGCATTGTGGGAATTCAAAAGATTTATTTTCATTGATGTATTTTCTAAGACATGTTCGGGCAGCTCTGAGCCAAACCTTAGTGGTTGCGGGGCATTTTCAAGGTGCAGTCAATGAAATCTTCACGGATCAACCGGCATTGGAGTGTCAAAATCGATGAGCGTGTGCTGATTTAAGTGTCAGAGCACGAGTATAAAGCGGCCTTCGCTCGTGTACCGCGTGCGCTTCTTGTGCATTACCTTGTCCTTGAAGTCTGTGTGGTTCTGGAGGATGGCCCGCTGGTACGTCCCTGTCCGAACGTAGTCCTGCATCATGTTCTGTTGCTGGGAGAGGTAGCCATAAAACTGCAAACACACACACACACACAGCAACAACACTGTATGACACATGGCAAAAGAGGCTCTTTGAGGTTAGTCACACAAATCTGTTGGTGAGAAGAGCACTGATCTTTTTGTCCCTGATATTTCTTCTCAGCCAGTGCAAATCTAATAGTGCAGACATTTCTAGACACATAGAGAGAGCGAGCGAGAGTGCCCTGTGTCTGAACCGGCCCATAAAGTTGCACAGTTATGTAAGTGAACAGAATATGAAAATGAGCTGCGGCCCGGGGAAACGTGATAAGGCAGCAGCGTGGAAGAGGCCACAGGTGAATCATTTCCAGATGGGACTGTAAACGATGGAGAGAGTCATCTGTGGTGGAGGGTGACTTGGTTCTGAGCTGGAGACTGTAGAGCCCATCACATTTGAGAACATGTGCTCGTTCTTTGTGTGTGTGTGTGTGTGTGTGTGTGTGTGCGTGCAGTGTGAGGGGCTCTGCTTTGATGCAAACGGTTTTCCAAAAAAGACGTCTGGAATTTCGTGCATGTTGTAAATGAAGGGCTGTAGGGCTTTTAGTCGTTTAGTCAGAAGGCAGAAGAGAGCGAGTGAGTCAAAACGTCAGATTACAAGCTGAATCTGTCTTGAAATACAACGCCCCTTCCCCTTTTTTGGTCGACTAATTGATCGGCAGCACATCCCTTTAGTCCAAAAAGAATTTTAGTTGACTACAAAACAAACAAGCGCAATTAGAGATATCGACCTGGTCCCCCATGAGGCGTCGGTGGGGTCAGTTCATCACCACAGAAGCAGTTTATGAGGAGTCCAGCCCATATCACATGATCATTATATCCACAATGCAATGTGTGTATCTGTACAGGCCCATGAACATTTGTGTGATATTGGTCACACATATGAGAATGTCGATGTCGAACGAAAATTTTTCATGAGTTCCGTATATGTTAGTTGTGTGACTGTAGATCAGTGTGTTGTGTATCACCAGAAAAAGAAGAAATGGTAATTATTTGCGTTCCAATTAGAATTTTACATACACTGAAAGAGAAAGTAACTGTTATAATTAGTGATTATCTCGAAAACTATTAATATTTTACTATACAAATGCATAGAATTATAAATAGATAATAACTTTTCTGAGATTTTCAGACTAACCCTGTTGCTCTAGCTCAATCCTTCGCGGAGTTATGACCAAAAACGCATATTTGACCTTGGTTAACCTTGACCTTCAAGTGACCTTGACCTGTTTCAACCTGTAACATTCATGTGTGCCAACTTGTGTGATGATTGGGTGAATATTTTAGGCCGCAGATGGTTCAGAAATTGACGAAATTGCCTTTATCCTTTATAACGATGACCTTTCAATTGACCCGTGTGACCTCAAATGACCTCGGATCATCACCAAACTTTTTTTTCCGGCATCAGGCACGGGGGCTTGAGCCATGTACCAAATTTGGTGACAATCGGTCCATAAATGGTGGAATTATCGCGGGTGGACAGACACACAGACATACAGGGTGAATACAAAATCTTCGGGGACCAGGTAATAGTCAGGCTTCTCTGTACCTGAGTTGGAGTGAAGTCTTTGCGTTACCTGGAAGTACTGTACAGCCGAGGACTCCTCTGTTCGCTCGCTGAAGACGGAGCGCTCGTTCAGATGTCCACGGCAGTTCTTCAGCACGTTGTAGAAGGACTGGAAGTCTGCGGGCGACGAGAACTGCAGCAGCACACTGTTACAGCCCAGCGTGATGATGAACGACTGCTTCCCCACGCGCGTGCACTCCGTCTCCCTGGACACGGAGCATTTGAACACGCTGGCCTCCTCTCCTGCACACACAACACACAAACACACATGACAGGGACGAGATGGAGATGGACAAAGGATCTGGTTTATGTTTTGAATCCGTGTGTCATTCGTTCATTTGTTTTTCAAAATAAAACCAAAAATAAGAAAGTGAAAAAACAACAATTTTCTTCATTATTTGTGTCCAAAACCAAAATGATTTGTTTTTTCAGTTTTCCATTTTGTGAATCAGGACTTAAACAGAACTAAAACAGGACTAAAACAGGACTGAACCAGGACTAAAACAGGACTGAACCAGGACTAAAACAGGACTGAACCAGATCTAAAACCAGGACTGAACCAAGACTAAAACAGGACTGAACCAGGACTAAAACAGGACTGAACCAGGACTAAAACAGGACTGAACCAGGACTAAAACAGGACTGAACCAGATCTAAAACCAGGACTGAACCAAGACTAAAACAGGACTGAACCAGATCTAAAACCAGGACTGAACCAGGTCTAAACCAGGGCTGAACCCGGTCTCAGTCCCAGTCTCAGTCCCGGTCTCCTGATCATCCGACAATCTACGTGGGCGCACCTTCGGGCCCGTCTTGACACGCCTGATTCAGTTTCAGTTCTGGTTTAGTTCTGGTTTAGTCCTGGTTTAGGACTGAGACCAGGACCAGACCGGGACTGAGACCAGGACCAGACCGGGACTGAGACCAGGACCAGACCGGGACTGAGACCAGGACCAGACCGGGACTGAGACAGGACAGACCGGGACCAGACTCAGACCAGGACCAGACCGGGACCAGACTGAGGCCAGGACAGAGACTGGGGCCAGACCAGGACTGAGACCAGTTTAGACCTGTTTTAGTCCTGGTTTAGTTTAGCTTTAAATCCTCAATCTTGGGAATCACTGACAACACTGAATATGTCACTCTTTGACGATTGGCTGGTGCTTGAACTCGAACTTCCGTGGTTTTTGCGAACCGTCTATTGTATTCTGAATCCTGACCTAGTCGCTGGAGAGAAATGAAATTGAGCGGAGACACTAGGTGGCACCAGCCTGACTACCCAAAAACACCATCACCGTCTAAACCAGGGGTGTCCAAACTTTTTTCATGAAGGGCCACATCTCTAAACACAGATGAAGCAGAGGGCCGATCGAGGGCTGTAGACTGATGCTCAAAACAGTGAATAATTGAAATATGTTCCTGTTTAACACATTAGAATGAGCCATTAAATATTAAATATTAGCTTTATCAAGGTAGATTTTCAAAAAACTTGCAATAAAAAGTTAGTTTTTCATTAATGCAAGGTAATTTGGGCCAATTTACCTGGAAGCCTGAGGGCCAAAAAAAATTTGTCTGAGGGTCGCATTTGGCCCACGGACCATAGTTTGGACATGCCTGGTCTAAACGAAAGGCACTTTTCGTTTTTACCCGCAAGCGTTCTCGTGTAAACAGGCACTAAATAAACATACTGCTCAAGAGGACATCACGAAGCAGAGAAACACTTCCATAGCCTAAGTTGACTTGTCGTAAGTTTTGTAAAATAACTTTGATAAATACAAACTGTTGTGATGCTTTGGTTTTGTTACATGCACGACAAAATGAGCAGCGGTAGTTCATAAACACTCTGAGTGCCTGAGGGGTAATGTATAAGGTTGTGTTCACACTTGCACAAACCAGATCAAATTTTGGACTAAACCGGGACTTAAAGTAAACCAGGCCTGTGTGTGTGGCATATATAGTACCTGTACTGTGCATGTGGTCTTGTGTACTTGTACATGTATGTAGGATGTGTACACACGGTCAAGCAGCTGTTGAAGTAGAACAAAGTAAATAAAGTTGATGCACAGTGGTGATGTATGATCAAAGTGTGACAGGTCAGGCCTGAATTTCCAGTTCTCTGAGAAGAACCACACCAGCAGCAGCAGCAGCAGCGGCGGCAGCGGCAGCGGCAGACGTCTGTGTGTGCGACTGAGAGAGAAAGACAGAGAGATAGAGAGAGAGAGAGATAGAGAGAGAGAAAGACAGAGAGAGACAGAAAGACAGAGAGAGAGAGAGAGAGACAGGCACACACAGACAAAAAGAAAGATAGACAGAGAGAGATAGAAAGACAGAGAGAAAGGGGGGGAAAGAGAGATGGAGAGACAGAGAGAGAGAGAGAGACAGAGAGAAAGAGAGAGAGATAGAAAGAAAGACAGAGAGAAAGACAGAGAGAAAGACATAGAGAGAGAGAAAGAGAGAGAGACAGAGAGAAAGAGAGACAGAAAGACAGAGAGATAGAAAGACAGAAAGACAGAGAGATAGAAAGACAGAAAGAGACAGAGAGAGAGATAGAAAGACAGAAAGAGAAAGACTGAGAAGGACGGAGACAAAAACAGATAGAAAGACAGAGAGAGAGAAAAGAAATGAGAGACAGAGAGAAGACAAACAGAGAGAGAAAGAGAGATAGAAAGACGGAGAGAGAAAAAGAAAGAAAAAGAGAAAGAAAGAGACAGAGAAAGACAAAGAGAGAGAAAGAAGAGAAAGACAAAGAGACAGAGAAAGACAGAGAGAAAAAGACAGAAAGAGAGAGAGAGAGAGACAGAGAGAAAGAGAGAGAAAGAGAGAGACAGAGAGAAAGAGAGAGATAGAAAGACAGAGAGAGACAGAAAGACAGAGAGAAAGACATAGAGAGAAAGAGAGAGAGAGAGAGAGAGAAAGAGAGACAGAAAGACAGAAAGACAGAGAGATAGAAAGACAGAGAGAGAGATAGAAAGACAGAAAGAGAAAGACTGAGAAGGACGGAGACAAAAACAGATAGAAAGACAGAGAAAAGAAACGAGAGACGGAGAGAAGACAAACAGAGAGAGAAAGAGACAAAAACAGAGATAGAAAGACGGAGAGAGAAAGAAAGAAAAAGAGAGAAAGAAAGAGAGACAGAGAAAGACAAAGAGAGAGAAAGAAGAGAAAGACAAAGAGACAGAGAAAGACAGAGAGAAAAAGACAGAAAGACAGAGAGAGAGAGAGAGAAAGAGACAGACAGAAGGAGCTCCTCTGCTCTTCACACTTCACTCGGAGCTGCTCCAAGTGCACAAGCTGCACCGGACACACACCACAGGCCAACAGAACCAGCAAATAAACAAATCTGATAAATCCTGGGTAGATAGTAGTAAAAAAAAAAAAAGGACTGGGCAACTTTTATCCTATCATTGATCGATCACATTTTTAACTACTGACAACTGCCATTTAATAATAAAAATGCTTTACACTTCACACTTGGAGGTGCTAAAATACTATTGTAGCCACAGCTGCCCGGGGACACACTGATGGAAGAGAGGCTGCCAATTTGCACCAACAGTCAAGCTACGTTTATAAGATGACGGTCTGAACAGAAAACGCAAAATTGGCGCCGCATCTTCACTTTTTATTAGACGAGCGTTTTTGGGAGGAAATCTGCGTGCATACAGTGAATTCGATTGGGTTTGCATGTCAGGCGGCTCGGTGCTGACGCTCGGTGGTGATGTATCTGACGTAAACTCGTAAGTAACGTGAGCAGATCTGACCAGAGTTTTGTGTCTTGGGAAGTGTAGACGGAAACGCTACAAAAACGCCGTCACAATCTAAACAAAAGGTACTTCCAATAAAATATTTTGTCGATTTTACCCGCAAGCGTTCTCGTGTAAACAGGCCCTCAGACACACTCCATATTCATACTAGGCAGTGTGGGTGAAGTGTCTTGCCTAAGGACACAACAACAACTTGGTCCGAGCAGGAACTGATCCTCTGGCCTTCAGGTTGAAGGACCGTCATTACCGTATTACCAAAATGTTTTAGTACAACTTTGGTAAACTACAAAGCTGCACCGCTGTACAATCTATGTGTACGACCTGCAGATTTATAATCTCTGAAAAGTTTCACATGAACCATCTCCAACGCGACACACAGAACAGACTCACCATCAGCAGCACATCCTCTGTCACAGAAAGAACACTCATATTTCACAGAGTCGTGTCCTTTAGTCCGACAGAAGCTGAACCACATCAGCAACACAAGAAGAGCTGTTTTTATCAGGGCTTTATAGTTTATGCAAATGAGCCATGTAAGTTTAGTTTAGTTTCTATAAAACAAACAAATATGCGCTTAAAGCCAAAAGTATATTTAGTAAATTTTTTAAATATAGTGACTGTAGAACAGCTGGATATATAGTTTATTTTGGATACATTTATGTTTTTCTATGCCTTATTTCATGTTCCAAGTATATTTTATTCATTTGATGTTTTAGATTCAGATTCAGAAAACTTTATTGATCCCATAAGGCAATTCATTTGCACCATCTCCGAGCAAACACAAACACAAACAAACACATAGTGTGTCAGTCCAATTGTCATCCACCAGTGGAACTCAAAATAAATAACAAATTGCAGAGTAAAACTTTCATAAAACTATCATAAAACTGTACCCTTAGAATTTAAGAATTTAATAGCCCTGGGCACGAAAGAATTAGAAAACCTTTTGGTTTTCCATACTGGAGCATAAAACTGACGCCCTGAAGGCATCAGGATAAAATCAGGAGCCAGAGGATGGAGCGGCTGAGCCAGGAGACCCTTGGCTTTGCTCAGCACTTGCTCCTCCCACAAAGAGTGCAGGTCCCTCAGTTTGATCCCTGTGATTTTTGAACAGGTTTTGACAATATTGTGAAGTTTGTTTCTATCCTTCACAGACAAGGATTCAAAACTGCTTTAAGGTTCATATTTGTAGCCTATATTTATTTTCAATTTGAAAGTTTTGCCTGACTTATCAATGACTGGTTTTTTGAGAGAGAGAAATGCTGAATAAATGCATCGTGTAACTAAAAAATAATAGTTTGAATAATCGTGATTTCAATATTGACCAAAATAATCGTGATGATTTTTTTCATAATCGAGCAGCCCTACTTAGGTCTATATAGTATTTTATTTATTTATTTTATATTATTATATATTTTTTACATTGTACTATTTATTTAGTTTCACCAAAAAAATAAATACAAGAACAAGTTAATATTGGTT